GGAGATATTCAAAGGTGGTTTGCCATTGCTTGCCTCTCTCTATTACTGTCTGGAAGAATACCTGATAGTTAACTATCAAAAAGATCTTTGTTTTTAGGGGGTAAATCTCATGTACACCACAAGTCTAGTGCAAGATGCTTGTGTTAAAAAGATTGGCTACAGCAGCATCAAATATTATCTATCATTTCTTTTGTTCATCTGGGGCTCAGTATATCCCAGCTGCCATCAGAATTTTAATGCCAAAGTGGCTGTGCAAGGTTTGTATGGGGCTGGTATCTGGATTGACAAAATAGGGGAGTCCTTGGGTTCAGTTCCTTAAATTCCTATGTTCCATTTGCAGAATTCCGAATTGTGTAGCAGGAATAGCTCTCCAAGCTGAATTGGGACAACCATCTCTTGAAGCTCAGGCTTGGCTGAAAGCTTTCCCCCTTAAAATTAAAATTACACACTCTGGCATCCAAGAGGGCTACCTCAGCTTAGTCAGAGAGGACTCTTAAGATCTTCGTCGTGGTCTCTGTGCAGTCCCACACATGGGTCGGGCGCCTGCGCGCGACCTCGACCAGAGAAACTTCTAGAGCTTTGCCTCAGAAAACTTTTTGGCGGGCTCTCTTCCCGCCCTAGGGAGCAGGCACGTACTGTGCATGCCTGGAGCGGGGGAGAGAGCCGCCTCCCACAAGTGTCGATCTCCACCGACGCATCCCTCTGGTGTTGGGGAGCCCAGTGTGGAATCCTTTCAGCGCAGGGGACCTGGTCTCGTCGTGAGACCACCCTTCATATCGATGTCCTGGAGCTGCGTGCAGTTCATCTCGCTCTCCACTGTTTCCTCCCGGTTCTTCGAGGTTGTCAGACAACGAATGGTCCATCCCCCTTCGATATCTGAAACCTATATTTCTCGAGTTCGGTCACCTTGTAGTTGATGGCTTTGCAACTGCAGACAACGCCCGGTGTTGCCTCTTTTTCAGCCGTGGTCCGCCATCTGAAGTTGCTGGGAGATGCCTTTCTCCACACCTGGAAGGGAACCCTATTCTACTTCTTCCCTTCATTCCCCTTGATCTCCTGTGTCGCTCAGAAGATTGTGGCTAATGCCACGTCATGCATCCTTGTCACTCCATGGTGGCTGCGCCAAGTCTGGTTTCCGCACCTCCTTCGTCTCTCCAACCGGACGTTCCGGCCGCTGCCTGTCTTCCCTGATCTCCTCTCTTGGGCTTGAGGAAGGATCCTGCACCCCGATCCGGGCTTCTTCAGATTGACAGCCTGGAAGATCCTGCACTAGACTTCCCGCCTGAAGTGTCTGAAGTCCTCCTGAATGCCAGGAAGCCCTCTACCTATGCTCCAGTCGTATGCCTCTGATCACTCCTTTGATCCCGTCCAGTCGTCTCTCCGTGAGATTTTTTCCTACATCGTCTCATAAAAAAATAATGGCCTTGCATACTCGTCGTTAAAGGTCCATTTAGCGGCCATCTCCACCTACCATCCCTTGATACAGGGATCCACAGTCTTTTCCCACCGTCTTACAAAGTTGTTTCTTAAAGGTCTCTTCTGGCTCTGTTTCCCTAGGAAGCCTTTGGTGCCTTCCTGGAGTCTGTCACTCGTTCTCACTCAACGTATGTCCAAGCCATTAGAGCCCATGGCTATAGTCGATCTCAGGTTGCTCTCCTGGAAAATGGCCTTCCTTATAGCGATTACTACTGTACGCAGGGTAGGGGAACTAGCTGCCTTTCGGGCTGATCCCCCCCTATACAATTTTTCATAGGGAGAAGGTTGTCCTTAGACCAGACCCTTCTTTCCTGCCTAAAGTCGTTTCTGCTTTTCACCTGTCCCAGTTGTCTGTCTTACCTTCTTTCTTTCCAAATCCGACTGATGCTTCTCAGAGAACCCTCCACTGCTTCGATGTGGGCAGAGTGCTCTCTTTTTATTTATACAGGACTCAGTCTATACGTAAATCTCCTTGGCTGTTCCTTGTCTATGGCCCCCCTCTTGTGGGGGAGCCAAATTTTCTCATCAACCTGTTTCTACCTGTGTCACTGCCCATTCCACATGGGCGGTATCGACATCCACCGCTTTCCTGGCTGGTATTCCGCTGGAGGACGTCTGTGCAGCTACTACGTGGTCCTTGGCATCAACCTTCGTGACCCACTATGCACTTGACGTCCAAGCTCAACAGGATGCTGCATTTGGCCAGTTGGTGCTGCGATCTCTCTTCGCTTGACTCTGCTGCGTCCCCAGGTAGGGTGTTTTTTCTCACTGATGACACTGTGTCTTAACCAGTATTCTTTGTGTTTTTTGCAGCTGCCAGCTCCCTCCTCCAACTGGTTCAGCTCTTGTAATCACCCATGTGTGGGACTGCACAGAGACCACGACAAAAATAAACAGGTTGCTTACCTGTAAGTGATGATCTTCGAGTGGTCATCTGTGCAGTACCACAATCCCACCCAGCCTTTCCCACTGCTGGCATCTCTTGTTCACCTTTCTTTGGCTTGATGGGACTTACCGGTAGCGGTCAAAGGAACTGAGTGGGAGGCGGCTCTCTCCCCCGCTCCAGGCATGTGCAGTGCGTGCATGCTCCCCAGGGCGGGAAGAGAGCCCACCAAAAGGTTTTCTGAGGTGAAGCTCTAGACGTTTCTCTGGTCAAGGTCGTGCGCAGGCGCCCAAACCCATGTGTGGTACTGCACAGATGACCACTCGAAGATCATCAGTTACAGGTAAGCAACCTGTTTTTTCCCAGTGGGATAAACTTGTAAGGCAGTGACTACAGCTCCTCAGCCTTTCCTTGGACTCTCTTTATGCAGTTACCAGACAGGAAGCCATAGGAATGATTAAGGAATGTCTGTTGAAGTATAATTATAACAGTACAATCTGTAGAGCATGGTGTGTTTTTTCTACTCAACCTGTTCATATTCTTCCACCTGGAGGGCTTCCCAGTTACTGCTCATATTTGATTGTTCCTTGCTATAGGCATGCTTTTATATTGTCACGCCTTAATGCCCTACCATTCTAGAGCAGGGGTGTTGAACTCATTTGTTGGGCCGGGCCATGTGTGTCATAAAATGTAATGCCAGGTAGTGGAAATATAAACTTTATAAAGGACACAAACACAAAGGTTTTTTTTTTTTACTTAAAACAAAAACATGTTTAAAACATTAGCACTCTTGCAATATTTTGTTTATTTAACAGTGTCTGATAACTGACACCTCTTGCTCTGAATTATTGCATTAAAATGTCTGTGCTGTTGCAATTTTGAGTATGCTGCTCAGGTGTGTATCTGTAAGCTGCAAACCTATGATGACGCAGCAGCAGCAAAACTGGAAGAAGAAGCAGAAGACAGCCAGTTCCACAGCGGGCCTGATAGAAGCCCTCTGGGGGCCTGATCCGGCCCCTGGGCCGCTAGTTTTTCACGCCTGTTCTAGAGTTTTGCAAGGGAGGTAAAATACCATATGCTGATAAAGTATATGATTGTGGTGCAGGTAGTGTAGACACCCTGTATCACGTGACCTTTGAATGTAATTACTTTTCTGAGCCTAGAAATCTTTTAATTCTTCCTTTGCTTCAAAATATAGCTCATATGGAGACATTACCTCTTTTATTAGAAGATAATAGCAGACCTATCACTCCTTTAGTTGAGAAGTTTTATGCATCTTTACTAGATTTTCGCAGCCGTTAAGTGGGGTCTAGCTTTTCCTGTATTTTAGTAATTTGCTTAAACCTAATAAGTTAAGAAGCAGTATGAGGCAGAAAAAAAGCTTGCCTCTCTGTATTCCTTGGGGGTCTTTCATCCAAATACTGACCAGGGCCAACCCTGCTTAGCTTTTAGAAATCTGATGAGATAATGCTGGCATGAGCTAGCCAGGTGAAGGCTGTGCACGATTACATGAATAATGTACTATTTGTTCTTTATTTATTATGTTTGAAGGTGTATAGAAGCCTCTGTCCTGCTGCATATATGAATAATTAAAAGCTGGTTTATATGGGATTTCTCAGTGCTTGTCCCCACAAGCCCTGAAGATAATATGAATGTGTATGTGATGCCTGGGCCACGGCTATTATGGACCATGCCAGAAGGAATTGGTACTAGCTTCTGGAGTTGTTTTTTTTTAAGGGGGGGTACTTTTATTTCAACATAGCTTAGCTCTGAGGTGATAACCCAGGACCCCAGGAAGGCTATAAGGAAAGTCAGGGCAGTAATAGAACATCTGGTCTTTCATCCCCCCCCCCCAATTACTTGATACCCTAATGTACATATAAGAATAAAACCAAAATACATCAGAATAGTATTTGTTGCTTTTATTAAACATGTTCATTATTACAAGGATAATCTGATCATATATTAAAATCCCTACTTTCATTTATATACAGGACATGCTACATCAGACATCAATACTTTAACACACATCATATATTATGAATGAAATAAATGAGGTAATGTTTCGAATTTATGGTTTTCACTGTTCCTATAATGTGCTAAAATAATTTTATTTCGGAAACTTACCTTATCAGAGTACTAGAATTCAGGAATTCAGGTTTTTACAATTGACTTTATTCATAAATATGGTCTCATAATTCTCTTTTATGTGTATATTTGGCAATAATAATGAAATATGGCAAATATAGTTTAGATTACAAATAATCTCTCCCAAGGATCATAACCTATTGGGTAAGTGTGTATAAATATTTTATATATCTATATCCATCATTGGCCTGCAAAGCTGGATAGCTCTTTTCATTATTGTTGTAACTACAGGGCTGGTAATGACTCTTGGGGTACAAAATAGCTTGAAACCTTTAAGCTGTAATTTATATGATGACAAAGGTATTCATGTTGAACATACATGAACATACGTGAAGTTTCCTTATACTGAATTAGACCATTGGTCTATCAAGGTCAATGTTATCTATTCAGATTGGTGGTGGCTCTTCAGGGTCTCGGGCAGAGATCTTTCACATCATTTCCTACCTGAGCCACTTATCTGGAGATGCCAGGGATTGAACCTGGGAACTTCTGCATGCCAAGCAGGAGCTCTTCCACTGAGCCACAGCCCCTCCCCAAATAAAATCAAGGTTGCTTTTGAAATTTGTGGGCATTCAATTAAAAATGCTTGTACTGTTTCTGTGATGAGAAACACACCTGCTTGATCTGTTTACAGATAATGGGAAGTGAATTAACAGAAAGAAATAAAAGTAAGCTGTGTGAAATTATTCATTTCTTGACTTCTAATATTGCCTTGAGCCCTGAGAAAACAGTGGGGCTTTATTTGTTCTAGGTATTGTGTGGACTCTTCAAAGCAGACACTTCTTAACAGCTAACAAGGGACAATCATGCTACCTTTTTATGGTGCTGTACTGGCTACATAGTTTCAGAGGATATAATTTCCTGTGTCAAATGGATTTATTATATCAAGAAGTCTTGCTGTACAGTTTTTAATATGTCCAGTATTTGAAAATACGTATATAACATACAAAAATATTTAGTTGATGTGGCAGTATTTTTAGCATCTCAGTTTATCTACAGTCCATTTTATCTGACAGTTTTTAAAAAGAAAAAAAACCTTAATACAAAGAGGTGTGTCTTGCCATTTTGGTCTGGAACAATTCTTCAAAAATACAATATACAAGTCCTCCAGTTTATAACTGTCAGTGTACAATATATTACATTCTTTGCTGCTGATAAAATGTGTTCCATATAGCACATTAAAATGTTGTTGCTTTTCATCTGATGCTTCACACTAAAGGCATGAGGAGATTTGCTTTCAGTGGAATGTGTTGGGGTTAGGCCTAATCATCATGACAACTTTCTTCAGTGAATATGAGCCCCCTCGGAATTCAGCCCAGTAGACGCCATCTTGGTATCGACTTCGGTAGTGTCCACCTCGGTACCACACACCATTAAGGTTGGAGTGTGCACACGCATTGTACCACCATCCGCCTTTCTGGTAATGAGCACAATTACCTGTAATAGAAGGGAAGAATTACACTGTAAAGAAGCAGGGTGTGTCAGTCTAGCTAATATGGCCTTATATATTCAACTGTTTGGGTTTCTGTGTATATTTAAATATATAATGTTTGATGTTGTATATGGGAAGACACTTTTCCTTTGTAGTTCTCTATAATCCATAAGGATGATATGGGAGTACACTGGGGGCAGAAATGGACCAGCATCATGTATCTGATGATGGAATATCCTTTTGGTTGGCATTACTACATTAGAGGATACATCTGCTCTGTAAGATAAGAAACAGGTACCTGTATCATTCTTTCCAGTTTTGTAAGGGTACACCCTTACCAAGAGCACATGGCATGAGTTATTTCCCCCTTAGCATAGTGCATCTACCCTTGTGTACTTATAGGCCAGTCATGATTTAAAGGTGTGTTCTCCACCCTTTTAATACAGACAATATGTGAGAGAAATCTTATGAGATAATGCAAACCTTGTGTTAACAGGAACCCCCAAATTATCCTTTTCTAGCTCACCATTGGATACCATGCCTTTAGCAAACTAGTCCTGTGGTTAACATGAAGTGAAGAGACCTCATCCCCTTTCTTCCAGCCTCTTCATAATCACATACATTTCAGATTGGGAAGGGAATTTAGTGCTGAGCTTGATCTATGAGTTTCCTAACATCCCTCAAATCCAATGGAAAATGTGGAAAATTCAGAGGGAGGGTTGGATTGCTCTGAGCTTTGAAGAATGACACAGAAGCAGCATGGCTCTCCTCTTCTCGAAGTCCTTTGTGGCAATTAGAGAACTTGGGGAAGTGGTCAGGTTGGAGTCAACTATAAATTTATTTATTTTATTTATATCCTGCCCTCCCCCACAAGTGGCAAATAAAGACTTACAGTAAGCCAAGCCAATATCTGTGCACCCTGTAAGTGAGATTGGGTCTCTTAGATGGATTTCTCTGACCCTTGATTGCTTCTGTTACCTTACTACCATATGCCACTTTTCGGCTAGTTGCTGCCTAATTGTGGACTATTTAGCAAGCCATCTGTGAAATTCAGGTAGGTTGAGCATGTTAGGCAGTGAGGTTCCTGATTTGTGGCTCCTGGTTGTTCTGGTTTGCTTAACTTTTCTCCCATTCCCGGAATTCTAAGTTCTTGCTTTTGTTGTTTGGTTTGCCTGACCCACTTTGCTGGCTATTTGCCTCTCTTGGAACTGTGTTCAACAGACTGCTGGTATGGAGTTCCAAGACAATCTGCAAAAACAGATTTACTTAAGAGCTAGCTTCTCTAGGGCACATCTCTGACATCTAGTATGAGTAACTTAGTTTTCAGTTTGTTCAATACATTATATAAAAATAACATGTTATAACAATTGTTTTCTCTAAAATATATTCTCATTAAATTCCTTGTAACTTTTATACCTGTGTATACATCATGATCTCTGTCCAGTGTAGTGAATTGTTTCCCATTGTGCCACGTGAAGGAATCTCCAGCATTACCATTGTATCGGCCCAGACGTAACTTGTAGTATTCACTTTCTGGCTCCAGTCGGAAACTGGCATATTCAGCAAATACTTTACGGCCTGACCAGTCTTCCATAGTTATTAGCAATTTGTAGTTGCCTTGATTGGTCAACCAGTAAATATTTTCTAAGCCCAACCAGTACTCTCCATCTATGTTACCAAACCCTTGCTGTATGAAAAAAAAGAATAAGTGAATTAGTGCATGGTGCCAAATTCATATAACTATCCTTAATTGCAGTAAAATTGTGGTGCTTTCATAGTAAATGCAAGAGAACTCTCTGGGATGTATTGTCATCTCTGAAAATATCATGGTAAGTTCCTTCCTTGGCTTTGTCAGCCCTCTGCCTTTGTGAGCTGGGAAAAAATGTTATTTTCCGAAGGTTGCTGAGGAAGCTATTAAGTGTCTGTCTGGTTTCTTGTGGACCAGTGCCCACCTCTTGGAATTTATGACCAGCATTGCTTCTGACCGATTCTCTCATTGGCAGTTTAAGCATGAGCTCATGTAAGAAATACAGTTTTCTTTTAGCTGTGCAGATTTAAATTTAAATTGTAGGTTACCTTACCATTATGGGAGTTGCTTTCCCATACTACTTCACATGCTGCTCTGGCAGTATATGAATCTTGAACTCACATAGGACAGATAAATGCCATAGTGCCTTCCTTCAAACATCCTCTGGGCAGAGTTGAGGAGAAAATATGAGAAGGAAGAAACCATGGTATCCACCCTACTCATGTGACTTCAAGGTGGTTGCTTACTTATACCTAACTCAGGCTCCGGTCACACTGGCCGGAAAATGCGGGGGGGGGGGAAGCGTGGCTGTTTGCCCTGGGGCTAAATAACGCGCGGTTGCGCGATCCGAATCTCGTGGAGGTCCCAAGGTTAGGGGGGAGGTACCGATCATACCACAAGCAAAGAAGCGTGGCGGCGTGGCAAACGGGGCACTCCATGAAACTGCAGAGCGCTCGGGTTAGAACGGATAAAAGGAAGTACTTCTTCACCCAAAGAGTGATTAACACATGGAATTCACTGCCACAGGAAGTGGTGGGTGCTACAAGCATGGACGGCTTCAAAAGGGAATTAGATAAGCATATGGAGCAGAGGTCCATCAGTGGCTATTAGCCACAAGGTATAGCTAGGGGCTCTGGGGCAAGTGATGCTCTGTCTTCTTGGTGCTTGGGGGGGGGGTCAACAGTGGGAGGGCTTCTAATGTCCTGGCCCCACTGGTGGACCTCCTGATGGCACTGGTATTTCTGGCCACTGTGTGACACAGAGTGTTGGACTGGATGGGCCTTTGACCTGATCCAACATTGGCATCTCTTATGTTCTTATGTTCTTAAACGGGGTTGTGTTTGTTTTGTTTAAACTGAAGTGTGCGCATGCTCCGTTGGGTGCTTGTGCGCATCCCGTGGAGACTTAATAAAAACCTTTGTGCACTATTCAGAGTCTGTTTCAGGTGGACAGGTGGGTCTTCCGAGGGTCAAATGACACAGCCCCTGTCCCCCTATAGCCGCCCTTCCCCACTCCCTCAGCTGTTCCTTCAGCCCCCTGCCCCCAAACCTCCCCTCAACCCCCCACTCCTCCCCCTTCCTTGATCTGCTCTGTCCTTCTGCCCTTCTCCCCTGACCCAAATCTCACTCTCCTGTGTTGCGTTTCATCTGGCTGCTCTCCTCTTCTCTGCACGACTCAAGTCTTAGCGAGCTGCTCAGTTGTGTGGTTTTGTTTTTTAAACTACAGTTTGTGCATGCACCATTGGGCGCTTGTGTGCATCCATGGAGACTTGGAAAAAAACCCACCTTTTTGCTAGGGGACATGGGCGGGCGCCAGAACTACCACCGGAAACGCGATCAGACGCCCGCCCTTGCCCCGCGGTTTCCGGAAACTAGTACCTCCGAGGTACTAGTTTTTTACCGCGCGTTTTCCGCGGGAAGCCTCGGGTGAGCCACGGGAGCTCTATGCTTCCCAGATGTGGTGATGAGATTGCGCCCGGAAAATCTGCCTATCTTCCGTCCCTGTAGCGTGGCTAATGCTCCGTGTGACCGCAGCCTCAGTTATACTAGTAGAGCAGAATGAGAAGAAGCCATAGGGAAACATCTCCCATGCCTCTGCACTGGATTTTTACAAACCAAATTCAGGTTTGTACTGAATTTTACAAACAAAATTCAGGTTTGTACACTGGATTTTTACAAACCAAATTCTTGCAGGTTTCAAACCAAATTCTGCTCTGGCTTATCCTAGTGCTTTACCTGGACAGCCTTTCTTGGACATAATGGAAAAACTTCCCCAGAATCTTTGGTCCAACCTCACTCTCTAGCTCAGGGGAAATGACAGAGGGATCTGAACTGCCAGATCTTGTTCTGTATAATAATGGCTGCTGACAAAGACTTGCCACCTATGCAACAAATTTGCAGCAGTCGACTTGTATAAATCCTTTCTTGTCTTTGCTACCTGTTTTCCTGTTATGCTACCAGACACTTTCAGCTGCTTTGAAACTCTGTTATCCTCTTCCTCTAATTAACCATCTGCTGCTGCTCCCTATAGGCAGTGTCTGGGCTTACATACTGCCTGGATTTTGGATTGTCAGCTTGCCTGTTTCGTTGCGTGCTGCTAATCTTTAAAATAAATAAACAAAAACCTTGCTACTTTTCTGTGGTCTTAGCCATCCATGGCTTCCAGAATTCCAGCTTCTGGACAGCTGAGAGATTTTTGTCAAAGTTCAGTCAAAACTGTCTACTAGGCTGTGCAATTAATGAAGCCTGCAAGGGAAAATGTAGGCCATGATCTGCTTGCTCTGACAATGAGTGTTTCAGTAAACATGGACATGAACACACATGAAGCTGCCTTATACTGAATCAGACAGTGGCCCACTAGGGGTTGGTATTATTTACTCAGACTGGCAGCAGCTGTCCAGGGTCCCAGGTAGAGGTTGCCCTTATCACCTACTGCCTGCTCCTTTTATAACTGGAGATATCAGGGATTTAACCTGAAACCTTCTGCATGCAAAGCAGGAGCTCTTCCACTGCACGATAACTCCTCCCCAACCAGATACCCTGCGTTGATTTGGGTTGTTTAATGCTGCCTGAGATGCAAACCATTAGCCTTCATGGATAAGTGTCCTAACCCCTTGTTAGAAAGATTTTAAACAAATTTTGACAACTTTTCTTAAAATTAAAATACCCAGCCCTTTTCATTTGTCCTAACCTTGTAAGTTTCCCAGTTCCTGAAAAAGTTGACAGATCCATCTAGACGTCTCTGAATTACTGTCCAGCCACCAGGATCATGTCGTTGGTCACACCAGACCTGCATCAGACGGTTTGTATTTTCAGGCTTCACAAGGTATATTGAACTGGTATCATGGCCATCTTCCAAAGCCTGCAGACAGTCTCTCCAAGGACCTGGTTGAGAGCAGATAAATAATGTCTATCACTGACACAGATGTGTTAATATTTCCTGCTGCCAGGGATATTTCTTGATAGAAGGGCACATCAGCTGGTGATGTGGGTTTTCTGAGAAAATTTTTTTTTTTTTTTGGTAAACAAAGTTTTTATTTTTTTCCTTCATTGAGAAATCATTACATCCGTTAAAAATCGTCAATCATTAATTACATTGTTCCCAATTCACTCCCCTACCCTCCTGACTTCCCGCAATGACCTCTCCCTTTCCCCCCGTGTTGCAACACCATCTTCAGTATTCTCATTGTTCTTAAACATTAGTATCCCTAGATAACATACAGTTATATTAATATTGTTCTAAACATAGTAAATTTTGCTTTACATCCCAGTTCTTTTCCAGGTAGATTTTGAAGTCCTTCCATTCTTCCATAAACTCTTCATCTTCTTTGTTGTTTAATTTTCTTGTGATTTTATCCATTTCTGCCATGAACAGAACTTTTTGTATCCAATCTTCAATTTCTGGTACTTTATCCAATTTCCAATATTGTGCATAAGTCATTCTAGCTGTTGTTATTAAGTACCAGAACAAAGTCTTTTTAGATATGTTCACTTCTTCCATTTTGAGACCCAAAAGCAGAATTTCCGGTAATTTTTTAAATGAGCATTTAAATATTTTTTGTATCTCTTCGTGGACTTTTGTCCAGAAATCCCTGGCTTTTTCACACGTCCACCACATATGGTAAAATGAACCTTCATGTTTTTTACATTTCCAACAACTATTTGACATATTTTGGTTCATATTAGCTATTTTTTTTGGTGTCATGTACCATCTATACATCATCTTATAACAATTTTCTCTAACATTAGTACATGTCGAAATCTTAATAGAATTTTTCCACAAAAATTCCCACGTTTCAATTGATATTTCTTTGTTCATATTAATTGCCCACTTTAACATTTGTTCTTTAACCATTTCATCTTCTGTATACCATTTTAACAATATTTTATACATATTTGAAATCTTTTTTTTCCCTATTCCCTCCCATATATTTTCCATCTCATTTTTTTCTTCCCTAAAACCAAAATTCCTTTTGTCAGATTTAAAAACATCATAAATTTGCATATATCTCAACCATTCATATTTATAATCAATCTCATTCTGCTTTTTCATAACCCATTCTGTTCCCTCTTTCTTAATTAAGTCTCTGTATGGCAACCAGTCCTTACCCTGCTGTCTTGAGTAAGGCACTAAAACTTCTGCAGGTACAATCCAGAGTGGTCTTGTCTCATAAAAATGTTTTTTGTATCTCATCCAAGTCGCAAATATTGCTCTCCTTACCAAATGGTGCCGAAAAAAGCCATCCATTTTTGTCTTATCATACCATAAGTAGGCATGCCAGCCAAACCTGCAATCGTGTCCTTCTAATGTCAGCAGTTTCTTATTGTCTAATATTACCCATTGTTCCATCCAAGTTAAACAAACTGCTTCATAATATAGTCTCAGGTTTGGTAATTGCAGTCCTCCTCTTTCTTTGGCATCACAAAGTATTTTCATTTTTATTCTTGGTTTCTTCCCTGCCCAAACAAATTTAGAAAGTTCTTGTTGCCATTTAGACAGCAAATCTGTTTTGTGTAATATTGGAATTGTTTGGAACAGGAACATCAGTCGTGGTAAGACATTCATTTTTATTACTGAAATTCTTCCCATCAGCGATAAGTTCATTGTCTCCCATTTTTTAAAGTCTTGAGTTAGCTTATTCCATAGTTTCTCATAATTGTTCTTATACAAATCTACATTTTTCGCAGTTAACTCAATCCCTAAATATTTTGTTTTCTTGACCACTTCGCATTGTACCAGTTCTTGTAGTTCCATCTGTCTTTGTTTTATCATATTTTTACATATCAGTTTTGTTTTATTTTTATTCACGTAAAACCCTGCCACTTCCCCAAATTCGTTTATTTTTTCAAACAGT